GTCTCTATTAAAGGTAAATCCCTAGTTGAAGTTTCTTAAACCTAGGACTGTCATTCCCCTGGTACCGCGCTGCACTTAGTGGTTCTTTCTGCCAATCTCTACTTCACTGATAGACATATCAGTATAGTATAGGCATAGTTGTTGGCATATGACAGGTAGCCCCGCAAAATGTTTGTTTTGTTTCCGATCGATTTGGATTTTTATTTCTTTCGTTTTTGGGATGTCGGATCCAAAAGTCAATTTGACTCGTTATTGGGATTTCATATCCGTCCGAATTTTCATTCCTAAAAGATCCACAACATGATTGTGCCTATAATGTAACCCGCAACAGCCAAAAAAAACCCATCTGATTGGCCAGAGAACAGTCACATGTCTGATTTAGTTTTGTTTTGAACTAAATTCAGATGGATCCAAATTTTCGTTAAAGGAACATTTAGATATATTTGCATTTGAATTCTGAAATGCAGATGAATCTGAATGTCTGAATTCGTACAAATATACATTCAGAACTAAACTAAATTTCCATGTCTAGTTAGCATGAGGAAACAAAGAATCCCTGTGGCGAACCAGAAGATTGATACGTCTCGAAGTGTCAATTTCTGAAGATACTTCACTGGAGATTTCTCTTCAATGGAGAGACATTTAGCGGTGCGGCAGGAGAATAAGTATTTACTTTCTTGTTTACAGGCACATCTTTATTTTTGGCCTTTCAGTTTAGCGATAGGGTCACTTTTAGGTGTAACTGTAATCAGACTATGGGCATTTAAATATTGATGTATCAAGAAGCAGTAAATGAGTTTTAAAACAAGCAGTTTACTAATCTCTGCATCTACAGGCAGTGAGAAGCAATTATTTCCCCCCCAAAAAAATCAAGAGGAAGCACATAGAGCAGCTCAACCCATTCTGCTTTCTCTTGCTAACAGTGACTCATCAGCACCCTTCTGATCTCTAGTGTAAACATAGAGCAGGTACTCTGGGACGAGGAAGCAAGGATAAGCCGGGTGTACATGTTTCTATGTTTCAACCCACGGGCTGAATGAAAAAATTGAACAGATTACCATTACATTACAGCTTACGAGGATTGACAGACAAATCCCCCGATGTTTTCATACCTGAACAGCTCCAACTTTTTTGGAATTGGGTTTGTATACTGTATACTGTATGTGTGTAGCAGGTAAAATTCTATCACTAGGCTGTAGCTATGGGTAACTCTAATGATTTAGAGCAGGGGTGTCAGATCTAAACTTACTAAGGGCCACACCAAGGGTTGTGAATAAAATGAGGGACTGGACATAAAGAAGAAAAAAAATAAACCCTGCAGCTTGTTGCGGTACAAAGCTCAGGCCCACTAATCATTATACTGTATGACTGTTCTGGTGTCCTGTGTGTGACGGCATTTAATGGACAGGGACTGTTGACACTTGTAGTGCCCTTACACACAGGACATCAGGATTGTCATATATTGGGCAGGAACTACAATTCCCAGAAATAATGTACATTATACAGCAATGCAGAATACCACCAGCTTTAGAGGACTACAGATTCCAGCAACACATTATACACCAATGCAGAATACCGCCAGCTAGAGAGGACTACAAATCCCAGCAATACATGATACAACAATAAAGAATACCATTAGCTATAGAGGACTATAAAGCTTAGCAATATATTATACAGCAATGCAGAATTGCACCGGCTATAGAGGGTTACCAGCAATGCAATAGCAGATGTCAGAAGTAAATAAGACAGAGTGCAGAGGTCAGGAGCAAAAAATACAGAGTACAGGGATCAGGAGTAAATAATGCAAAATGCAGAGGCCAGGAGCAAATAATGCAATAATAAATAACGTGTTTTTTGTTATGTTATTGTCATTCTGTTGCTTCTTATCTTAAATCAATAAAAATATTTGAAAAGAAAAAAAAACAAAAAATAACGTGTTTTTTTTTGCTAGTGCACATGTCTAGTAAATAGAGCAGAGTACAGAGGTCAGGAGTAAATAATGCAGAGGTCAGGGGTGAATAATGTAGAGTACAGAGCTCAGGAGTAAATAAGGACAGGGTGCAGAGTTCAGGAGCAAATAAGGCAGATTAAAGAGGTCAGGAGCAAATAAGGCAGATTAAAGGGGTCAGGAGCAAAAAAGGCAGATTAAAGAGGTCAGGAGCAAAAAAGGCAGAGTACAGAGGTCAGGAGAAAATAAGGCAAAGTACAAAGGTCAGGAGTAAATAATGCAGAGTACAGAGGTCAGGAGTAAATAATGCAGAGTACAGAGGTCAGGAGTAAATAATGCAGAGTACAGAGGTCAGGAGTAAATAATGCAGAGTACAGAGGTCAGGAGTAAATAATGCAGAGTACAGAGGTCAGGAGTAAATAATGCAGAGTACAGAGGTCAGGAGTAAATAAGGCAGAGTGCAAAGGTTAGGAGCAAATAATGCAGAGTATAGAGGTCCGGAGCAAATAATTCAGAGTACAGAGGTCAGGCGTAAGTAATGCAAAGTACAGAGGTCAGGAGCAAATAATGCAGAGTACAGAGCTTAGGAATAAATAAGGCAGGGTGCAGAGATCAGGAACAAATAATACAGAGCACAGAGGTCAGGAACAAATAATACAGAGTACAGAGGTCAGGAGTAACATGCAGTGCAGAGGTCAAGAGTAAATAAGGCAGAGTGCAGAGGTCAGGAGCAATAATTGCAGATTATGCACACACATGCACTGTAGGCATCAGAAAACTGCCAGCTAGCACCCTTATGCAGCCTGCTGTCCCCCTGGTATTGCCCCCCTCCCTTCATGACTGCTTTTCCACCCCCCCACTTCCAGGCCACATATACCTGTCACCTGGGCTCACCAGATCCTCTGATCGCCGCTTCAAAAGGTGCTGGCGGGCAGAGTGTGGTGGCCGGTACAGACATCTGCCCAGCTAATGCATTGCTGGAGGGGGAGGCAACAACAGCTGTGGGCTGGCAATGCAATTGCTGACGGTGCTGGCTCAGTTCCGGGACTGCTTGTTCAGCTTCCTGTAGCTTCTGATGGTGGTCCTGGCTGTCCGGACGGCCAGCACCCCCAACTGTTCGCCTGGAGCAGCCGCACTGCCCCCCACAGGGTGTTTTGCCACTGATGCTGAATCCTCAAAGGGTGGCTGGCTGTATTGCCGGTCAAAGCAAGGCTAATAAAAAAAAATGACCCTGCTTGCCGGCGGGCCTAAGAAAATCTGTAGGCCTTGTATTTGACATATGTGATTTAGAATGTGACCACAGGAGAGTGATACCATCAGGCTCACATTAAACTCATAATGCACGTGAGCAACACATTGTTCTGTGCTTTCCTTTGCCTTATACAGATCCTGTTGTCTGCATTCTTGTTATACCCTGTGCTCAGATCACTGACAATCCTGTTACCTTTGCGCATATATATCCATAATTATTTACTAACTCTGAGCCAGACTAAATTGATTTAGTCCAAAGAAACACTAGAATCCAAGGAGAATACATTTTCAAAGCTTTTAGACACAGGCAGGGGCGTAACTAGAAATCACAGGGCCCCATAGCAAAAGTTTGTATGGGGCCCTATGATTTCTATTATGTAGCAAATAAGTTGCGCTCAGTCTAGTTGTGAATGGATGTGAAAGTGCTCTCTCAAAACCCAAAGGGGTTTTTTAACTAGTAGTTCGGTCATTCGGCTGTTAGTTGTCGGACAGTGTATTGTGACCTGTAAAGACAGAGTGTCACAGTCTAGCAAGGTTTGGGTTAGTATGGATCTCAGCTGTTGAGATTGTTAAATAGGATTAAGGGTTTGGTTCAGTTTGGCGGACCCCAATGCACTCAGTACCAAGGGGAACCGCTTAACATCATGTACCCCTATGTGTGACCTGTGTGTGGTGGTTTGACGTAATACACTACGCTAATAATGGTAGTACTAAGAAAGTAAGTTTGAGGAAGTGGCAGTCAATAGGTTGGAGTAGATCTGCATATGCTGGTGGACTGCTAGGACAACAGTTTTGCTACTGACTCAGTAATCAAGAGAGCAACGAAGATGTAAATGGAAGTGGATATAACAGGTGGGAGGATGAGGAAGTGGCAACAAATAGGTTAGAGCAGATCCGCATATGATGGCGGACTGCTAGGAGCAGTTGGTATCTTGCTAATCACAGTTCATCAAGTGAGCAATGCGGTTATGTTTGGGGGTGCAACAAACAGATGAGGTGTCAATGGTTATCTCTGATCACAGTTCAACAATTCAGCATAAGTAAAGGTGAAGTAGTTTCAACAGGTGGTTGATTACTTGTTAAGCCAAGCCTGAGTTCCTAATACAGCACAACCAGGTATTTGAGTGGAAATAACAGGTGGGAAGTTTCCCAGTTACTTGCGGTTTGCTTGAAGGTATGAGGCAAATGTGGATGGTACTTGGGGTGATCGATGCAACCTCAGTGTTGGTCCAATGGCTGGTCCTGGTGTGCAGTAATGAGTCACACTCTCCAGTTCAGCCTGTAACACACTGTCTCTTGCTCTGTCCTCTGAGCCACTCGCTCGACGTTCCAGAACGATAGAACGCCGAGTGAGTGGCTCAGCTGTGTTTTTGAGCAGGAGCCGCGGCCAAGGGGAGGAGTCGGCCGTGACGTCATGGACGGACGGCGCGCCTCGGACGCGGAGCTCTGATCCGGGTAGGTCTGTGACACAGAGCTAGTGTACAGTGATCTTGTTACAATGACTCACAGGCAGGGGGGTCAGCCGGGAGTTTCCTGTGGAGAAATGTTTCAAGTTATAGGACTCAGGTCTACTAAAAAGTCCATAAAAATGAAGAATTCCACCAATATGAGTCATGAAAATGCCCACACATATACATCATCACTGTCCCTCTACATTACCACAACAAATGCTAATCACTTACAAAGGTGGAAATGGGCTTTATGTCACCCATATAGTTTGGCCTTTACAACATGAACTGCAGTTGTTTTACATACTGTAAAGTGATTGTTGGGGACTGTTTTGGCTGGATAATATGTAGCAAAATATTGTCTCCGCCTCTCAACACTATGATGAAAACCGCATTAGTACACTTTCACCTTTTGAACAGTACATTTTTATTTTCTATTGAAATATTTTAGAGCTTTACACCTACCTGTCTGAGACATTGGAATCCCAAATCTGCAAGGCCAGGAATATTGTACCAGTTACAATGAGAACAGCACTTGCGGTTTTTACATACTGAATATTCCTGTAGGCATAATAGAAATAGGACATATTAAATAAACCTTTGAGGCAATTATAAACACAAAAATATCGTTACAATGCAGCTCTAGGCTACATGTTAATTTAGAGCCATGGTTCTCAACTGGTGGGTCATGACCCAAAAGTGGGTTGCAACCACATGTTCAGTGGGTCGCGGCATGAATTCCATTGCACTAGGTGAGATGTTCCTCAACCTCCTACATAGCGCAGCACTGTCAGTTCTTGTGCTGAGCAGCCAATCAAAATATGCTGCCTGGCGTCAAGTGTCAGCTTGAGGTGGGGTGGGGGTACAGCTCCCTCATGTGACTGGAGTGACATCACATTCTGGCTCCCGGCACATCTACAGGGAGTGCAAGGGAGCTGTACGAGCAATGCACATATGGAGAGACCTCCGTCACAGCACAGCAGCCCACACTGAACCCCTAAACTAGTTTCTAGGAGTGTTTATGTGTGTGTGTGAGATTTTGTCTGTGGTTGTGTGTCTCTGCCAGTGTATTAATTGCAAACTGCCACGTAATCGCACCTACTGTTCGTTCAGGTGCGGGAGGTGTATTGCGTTGCCTTTCATTTGAATGGCACTCCAAACACATCTCCTGCCCACAGTTTGATCCATTGCACTGGAACAATGCCGTGCGCTCCAGTTTTGTGCAACTTGGGTCGCGACTTAATGACCAAGAGCAAATGTGGGTCCTAAAGTTATGCAGGTTGAGAACCACTGATTTAGAGGACCATTTATAAAGCAGTGTTATCTCCTAACAATACTGCTGCCTTTCAGATTCTTAGAAATAGTCATTGTATTTATAACTGTTGTTAAAACTGCTTGAAGAGGGCACTTTGCAACTCTGCAATATTGCTACTTAGAAAGATTTAAAGGAGAATTATGGGGAGAGTGAAATACCCCCATAATTAGAGCCGATGTGTGACACTGCAGCTATTGATGGGGTGTCCCCTCAGCGGGGGCCGGAGGCAAACGCCAGGGGTTCCAGGTGTGAGGTCACCCCTTTGGCAACCATGAGGGGGAAAGCTCCCGGCTCCCCTAAGGCAAGTGATCCCATGCAGCGGCTCAGGTTAAACAGTTCAGGTTAGACAGTTACTATCTATATAATAACACACGTGCATCAATACACGAACAGAATATGCCATTTTAGACCCGAGATCCTGACTCCCAGAAGGGCCCACGAGAGGCGGCAGATCAATAGAGCACGCTCACATCAAATGGAGAGCAGAAAGGTCACGGGGCTCTCCCGGTAAGGGGGGATCCTTTGGATGACATGTGGCCACTAGGGCATCTGGGTGGAGAAGGAATGCGTCCAGTTAGAGCAGGGATGTAGAGGAAGCATGAGGGCCCGGCGGCGGAGGGTGTTAAGGGAGATGTCCTGTAAGATCTGCAGTGGGGCCCCATCGAACTCCATGGGCCTCTTTAACCATGCCTGGCATAGGATGTCTTCCTTCATGGTGTAGCGATGCAGACGGCAGACGACATCTTGGGGGAGGGAAGCATCCGTTGGTGGGGGGCCGACTGTGCGATGCACCCTGTCGATCACGATAGAGTCCCGTGCCGAGTCTGGACCGAGGAGTGAAGGTCCGACGCAGGGTCGCCTCCTGGAGCCCCCGGGTCCGTACAATCTGGTGGCTATTGCGATCCTCCAGGACCTCCATTTGCAATTGAAGAGATGCGACCTGAGGGGAAGGTCCCGGCTGGGCCCGCTCGAGGCGCTGGACCCGGGCATCAATCGCCGCACAGGACGCTGATACCGTGGACACCTCCACAGATACCGCCTGTACCTCCTGGCGTACTTTACGCAAGTCTCGCTGGAGTGCGGCCTCCACTCTCGTAACTAGGGCCGCAAAGTCCTCCTTCGTGGGCAGGTATTTCATGAGGGCCCGGAACTCCCGCGGGACATCCATTGGAGGGTTGCGAGATGGGTACTGGTCCACATCGGTGGAGTCCGAGTCATACATCCGGGGAGATCGTAAGCCCGAGTGCATCTCGCTGGGGGCAGGTGAGAGGGAGCGTTCCGTGCCTCGTGGTGAGGATGGCGGTACTGCCTTCAGTGCCATATTGGAGTGGTCTCGGCTGCAGATCCCGGTCCACGTGGAGGAGAAATACCGCTGCAAAGACGGGGTGCTGCGCTGCAATGGGGGTCCACCCTCCTTCCTGCACTTTGACATTGTCAGGTAGGTCTGAGTGGTGTGGTATAAGTAGGATTAGTTTGTCTGTAAGTCGGGTGTACCACGGAGCTCTCAAGCCTTGCGACTTACTGCGCCATGAGCAGGAAACGCCCCCGAAAACAACTTTTTCTGCTGTTTTGGATGCGGAGGTTCCGAATGCGAAATCCTACTATGAAAATGCAGAACAAGCAGCGGCTATGTCAGCCGCTGGCGCGTTCTGCACTTGCGCGCCGCCATCTTGGTATACACCAAGATGGCATGCCTGTATGTTTGGCCGCCGCCATCTTGGTGTATATCATTGTTTTTTTATTATTATATTTACTGTTGGGGGGCTTTGGTAAAATATCAGGGGTCTAAAACCCTGACATTTCCCTTTTGAAATTGAAAGTGAAATTGTGGACACAGAGTCCTTAATCTCTTTTTCTGCCGCCCCAGCACTGAACGAATGGAAAGCACTCAGTACAGTTTAACATGCTTGCTGTTACTGAAACCTAGCTTCAGGATTCTGACTCTGCCTCGCCTGCTGCCCTCTCCCAGGATGGCATCCACTGAACGCACTCACCCAGAGCCGGTGGATGTAGAGGAGGTGTAGTGGGTATCCTTCTATCCCCACAATGCACTTTTCAAGTTCTGCCCTTACCTCCCTCTCTATCCCTCTCCTCTTACGAAGCTCTATTTGACTATTTTCTCCAGTTTCTCTGAGGATTGCTGTAATATACCAGCCCCGTGGACTGGTGTCTAGCTTTCTTGATGACTTCTCTGTAGGATTGCCACATTTTCTTCAAGTGAAACCCGAACGATCTAGCACCGCAGTTTTCTTTTTTGTGCAATATAGAGGAGAGAGCGAGGAGAGGCAGCCAGGAGAAAGAGCAAGAAGAGACAGCCAGGGGAAGGAGTAAGGAGACTGGCTATAGAGGACTACAAATCCCAGCAATACATTATACAGCAATACAAAATAAAAATCAAGCGACATATGTGTTGTTCCGGGGTGGCTCCAGGGTCTCAGATGGCCTGTGCAGACTCTCCCCAGGGCTGTGCTGGCTCTCAGGTGGACTCTGCGGGCTCTCAGGTGGACTGTGTGGGCTGACAGGAGGCTGTGCAGGCTCTCAGGTGGGCTGTGCATGCTCTCAGATGGGCTATGTGGGCTTTCAGGTGGCTATGTGGGCCATGCAGACTTTCAGGAGTGCTGTGCGGTGTCTCACCCGAGGTCAGGAATACATAGAAGGAGATGCACGGGCTGGCACCTGTGAGCCGCGGACCTGCAGATCTCCTCTTCCGTCTTCCTGACACCTGTCAAAAAATATAAAGTGTCCGGGTGTCTTCTGGCCTGAAACCCGGACACAGGACTCAAAAAACAGACTGTCCGGGTGAATCCTGGACAGGTGGCAACCCTACTTCTCTGCCTAGCTACCCTACTTTTTCTCCTGCGAAATACCTACTATCATTCTTGGAGACATTGCTAATAACTAGTGATAGGCCGAACACTCTCCATGTTGCGTTCGAATACGAACTTTCGAACATGGGAAAAGTTTGTATTCGAACTCAAAGCAAGTCTATAGGGGTAGAACATTGAAGCCTTATATTCAATTTATTGGCCATAAAAGAGTATCGTGATCCGGGTACTGCCCTGGGGGACAGGAATCAATGAAACAAAAACTGTAAAAAAAATACCGTTTTTAACAGAGCAGTGATTTTAACATTGCTTAAAGGGTAACAATAAAAATTAAAAATTCCTTTAAATATCATGCCGATGGGGACAAGGGCCTCTTCCCCACAAGCCCCGGGGTGTTGGTTGTGGGGTTGCGGGCATGGGGCTTATTCACATCAGGGCACCCAGATGTGACCCCCGCCCCCCTTGTGATGAGGGGTACCCCTACCCATTCACTAAAGGGTTAAATAAAATGTTAAAAAACAGACTTTTAGACTTTTGGAAAAAAATCCTTTAATTAAAAAAAAATACAACAAAGGATTTTGACAAGTCTTTTATTGTTTAATTAAAAAAAATTGATTCACCAACGTAATCCAGGGTCAATCACGACATCCAGCGTATTCCACGACGACAACTCAACTAAATAAAAAATAAAACAAAAAAAAATAAATAGAAATAAAAATAGAAGAAGAAAAAAAAACGATGACCGCCGTCCCGTTCGCTCGCGACTCCAGCCGCAGAATGGCATTTTGACAGATGCTGGCAAAACATAAACAATTCGGGGGAAGCTAGCGGTGACAGCTGGATCCGCCCAACTGTGTACAGTTTTACATCATCTGACAGGTGAGCCATGTGTGGGCAAAGTCATCATGACTTTGCCCAATCATGGCTCTTACAGAGTTCTTTTTTGCCAGGTGCAGTCAGGTGCAAGCATTTAGCCTATTAGGGCTTCACAAGACGCATTGCCTTGTGGGTCATTCAGCGGTTGAACAGACCGCCGAATGCTCTTATAGTTTGTGTGTTCTGTGAACTAGCAATGTTCGAGTCGAACTCACGTTTGACTTGAATATCCAGCCCCTCCCTACTAATAACATTAACACCCCAGCGGCTACAACTCAAATTCTCAACCTGACCTCTTCTTTTGACCTAGCACAATGAATACACACTCCTACTCACTCTGATGTGAACATTCTAGATCTTGTGTTCTTCTCATCTATGCCCTCCCTGCAAACTCTCCATCACCCCTTTTCCCCTCTCAGACCACAACCTTATCAGCTTCAGGCTCACCCTGAGACCCTGTTCAGCCCACTTGAGACCCCACACACTGCCCACTTGAGATCCTGCAGATCCCACATAAGACACCGCACATACCAGAGACCCCACACAACCCACAGCCCACTTGACACCCTTCGGAGCCCACCTGAGACCCGCACATACCATAGACCCGGCAGAGCCCCTGATACCCTGCAGAGCCCACTGGAGACCCCACGCAGCCCACCTGAGATCCTGCACAGCCCACCTGAGAGTAACCCTGCAGAGCCCACCATGGACTCTCCCTGTGCCGCCTGGGTCATTATGGCGATAGTTCCACCACTGAAAGCTGCCCTCCTAAAATATAATTTCTCCCTCCGTGCTGTCAAACAGACTTATTTTGTCACTCTCATTAACACACACTCATCCAGACCTCGTCAACTTTTTTCTACTTTTAACTCTCTATGTCCCCCACCGCCACCGCCCACTGACTCATTCACTGCCCAGGACATTGCCATTCATTTAAAAACAAAATAGATGCAATCCAGGATGAAATTTCCACTGTCCAGTCACCCTCCTCTATTAATGTACCAGACCCACCAGCAAACTTGGTACTTTCCTCTTTTGACCCTGTCACCACAGAGGAGGTTACAAAGCATTTCTCCTACACCCACCTCACCACTTTCCCCCTGAACCCTGTTCCCTCACTACTACTT